AAGCAATATTGTTCAGCTTTCGTAAAAATTCTTCACCGCTCTGTTATACGTTCGCTGTTCACTTCCTTAGAAACATTGCTTCTAAAATTCAAAGGTTAGAGAATAAAAGCTGTAATCGTTGTAGTGTTTTGCACGTGGGCAAATCGAATAAACGTGTTTTTTCTCTTCGAACTGTATCACCAAAAGATCATGAAAGTAGCTCGCTGATAAAGTCTCTTCTTGCTGGCGAAAGCGCATCAACGGGCCCTCATGAGATGGGATTAGAACGGCAGAACTTCCTCCAATAAAAATTTATTTTTTCCTGCTTGTTTGTCTTGCCACTACAGTTCCAATCTCCAAAGTATTTCAATACGTTCCAATTATTAGGGAAAGGTAATCTGCATGAATTGATGCTCAACATCGCTGAAAAGAATGTTTGCTAATAACACCCATATAATATCATGATGTCATCAGCGTGAACGGAAATCAGAATAGCTACTAGGCATCATTGTTTGTTCATAATACTGTAATATAAAGTTGCATAACTTCATTACAGCTATCGCTTAACAGCATCTGTGCCTTCATTTTTTGCCAATCTACCCAAAATTGCAACAACATAGATAATCATACCATTTCAAACAAAACCCAGCTAGCATGTTTCCAGCTACGCTTCCTCATGCAGTATCAGCCAGGAGAGCTGAAAAAAACAGAAAAAATAACAAGCTTGTTGAGACTGTAGAAGTAACGAGTCCCGAAGACGGTAACATACACAGGACAAAATGTGCGAAGCTCCTTTCCTCTAGAAACAATTGAAAGACATGCTGTTGCCCCATGACTCACCTATTATAGAACTCTTTCATCTGGCCTTAGAAAGTTTGACCTGTCACTCTACGAGGTACAGTTTCTTACTTTTGGGTGCTTTCAAAATGGTGTGACTTGCAGAAACTGAGGGGTGTGCAGCAGTTTCACGGGAGTGAGTATCCGAAGAGTTACTTTTTGAGGCCGACTTAAAGAAAATATTTGTAGAAAAGCCTTCTTCCGCTTCGATCCCCTGAAGCCCATTCAAATGGTTCCATGGATGCACGGTTGAGGAGAGGATACAAAATAAGTTATGAAATGTGCTCATTAAACAACTGTTTTTGCTGTCACAATGTGAACGTTTCCGTTAGCGACGGCAACTTCTTTTGCAGTTGATGGATAATTTTTTCACAATCACAACTCTTTTTACTAGACTATGGGGTTTCATTGTACTTGGGATTTGTACTTTCATGGGCGTCTAGCTTAATCTTTTCGACAACTATCCATTTTTCTTCAGGAGGAATGTCGATCATTCTCCAAACTGTTCTGGAAGTTTCACTTGCCTCTCTCTATACATTTGTTATATTTATCATTGCAAGGACCAAAATATCCGAGAAAGCATTTTTCACCATGTTCATGGCTACAGGTAAGCCAATGCGGAAAGTCCATTTTCTTAAAAGTTAGACTGTAAGGGTTTATACCAATGAAGTAAATTACTCGAGGACGAGGATACACCAAAAATAATTATCAATCTGTCCGAATAACATCTGCACTAGGATTTGGCTTGTCCCATACAGTGCTCTAACATAACAAGCCTGAGGGACCACTAGTCTAGTCCGCAGCACAAAGAACCAGGCGGAACTGGTGAAAAAATGCGAAAACTTCATTATTCAAGATGAACAGAGTGATAAACTTATACGTAGCCACCTATTCTCTCAATAGGGAACGAGCTATATAATTCACAGAGAGTGACTCTTTTAGAGAAACAAATTCAAGAGTAGAATTTCCCATACGACCTTGTCTTGGTCAAAAGACTCGGTATCTTCTTGCATTTAATCTGCTCTCAGAGGAAGAATATTTATGATTGTTCAGGATTTGCTGATCTGATAGCACTTTGTTCGAATATCCTCCTTCGCTTGAATCGTGAACTCAATCTGGGACGAGAATTCCAGCATGTTGTTCTGAAACTCGCTACAGCTAGTAGCATGGGTTTTGTAGCACATATGTTAGGAAATATGCTTATAACTATCAATCGTTTCACGGCTATTTGCCTCATGCAAAAGCACGCCAAGGTTAGTCGAAGACGTTCACGATTTATCGAAGACTTTTTAAGCTAAATGATGAACCATTTTTCCGAGTCGCGACCACGGAATTCATCTAAGATTAGTACTAAATTGCTGAAATTAGTTGATTTGATAAGTTATTTTTAAGATTTGGTCCCGGAAAAATGTTCGAATTGCTATAGGAATACAGTATGTTGCAAGCTTTGCTGCTTGTTCGTATCTTTTAATGACAAGGCTGGAATATATTCAGAATAGCGATGGAACCACTAAATTCAAAGGATTTCAAAGGCACATCGACATGGTTGGTTTGTTTATTGTCTTCTTGCAAAAAATGAGGTGGTGCAACTTGAATATGAGAAACTGCAATGTTGATATGAACTGCATTTGTACAGCTTCTTAATAGGATGTTTTCATAAATATTAGGTTGAGTCACACAGTGCTCCGCCAATGTAATAGTGATGACTTCTAGAGATCATAATCAGAAAGGGGTGACGAAAATGGACGCGCAGGCATCGTCAGATTGAGTATAAAAAGCTCTTTGAAATACATACTAGC